TGCCCAGCCCAATGCTCGAGTGGCATGGCTCTCCCAGGGAGAGCTGGGCTGGAATCTCTCTCTGAAATTTGGCCGAGTCCTTATTCATTGCAAGCCAATCGGCGTTCCTTACCAGGGCACGGACTGTAGGATTTGGCCCCTACATTGTAGAAAGAGAAACACCATGGGCTAGAACCCGAGCCTCCCATCTGAGTGTGACTCGTTGATCAGTGTGTTACATGTCCTCCTCTGGGCCTGATCTTCTGGAGTCTATTAAAGTTCCAGCTAGGGCCTGGCTCTCTCTAGCTCATGCTGCAGAGTTCTGGCTATCCCTGGTGTCAACTAGGATGGTGGTCCTCACACCAGCATCCCCATTGTGGGGAGCTGATTCATTGAATCCTAGAACTGGAAGGAACCTTGAGAGGTCATCGAGTCCAATCCTCTGCCCTCATGGCAGGACCAAGTACCATCTTTAAACCATACCTGAGAGGTGTTTGTCTAACCTGCTCTTAAATATCTCGAATGGTGGAGATTTCACAACCTCCCTAGGCAATTTATTCCAGTGCTTAACGACTCTGACGGGAAGTTTTCCCTAATGTCCAACTTACACTTCCCTTGCTGCAAGTTAAGCCCATTGCTTCTTGTCCTATCAACAGAGGTCGAGGAAAATATTTTTTCTCTCTCCTCCTAACAACCTTTTAGGTACTTGAAAATTTGTTATCAATCTTGTCCCCACTCAGTCTTTTCTTTTCTAGATTAAATAAACCCAGTTCTTTCAGTCTTCCCTCATGTTTCGTGTTTTCTCGACCTTTAATCATTTTTGTTGCTCCTCTCTGGATTTTCTCCAATGTCTCCATCTTTCCTGAAATGTGCCCCCAGAACTGGACACACTACTCCAGTTGAAGCCTAATCAGCACAAAGCAGAGGGGAATAATTACTTCTTGTCTTGCTTACAACACTCCTGTTAATGTATCCCAGAATCATGTTTGCTTTTTTTCCAACAGTTTCATATTATTGATTCGTATTTAACTTGTGGTCCACTATGACCCCTAGATCCCTTTCTGCAGTACTCCTTTCTAGACAGTCACGTCCCATTCTGCATGTGTGAGACTGATTGTTCCTTCCTAAGTGGAGCACTTTGCATTTGTCCTTATTGAATTTCATCCTATTTACTTCAGACCATTTCTCCTATTTGTCCAGATCATTTTGAATTATGACCCCATACTCCAAAGCACTTGCAACCCCTCCCAGTTTGGTATCATCAGCAAACTTTATAACTGTACTTTCTATGCCATTATCTAAATCATTGATGAAGATATTGACCAGAACTGATCTCTGTGGAACCCCACGTGTTATGCCCTTCCAGCATGTCTATGAACCATTAATAACTGCTCTCTGAGAGTGGTTATGTAACTAATTATACATCCACCTTATAGTAGCCCCATCTACATACTATTTCCCTGGTATATTAAAAAGGTCATGCGAGACTGTAACAAATGCTTCGCTAAAGTCCAGATATACCACATCTACTACTTCCCCCTTATACACAAGGCTTATTATCCTGTCAGAGAAAGCTATAAGTTTGGTTTGACATGGTTTGTTCTTTACAAATCCATGCTGACTGTTACCTATCTCCTTATTATCTTCCAGATGTTTGCAAATGAATCCCTTAATTATTTGCTCCATTAACTTTCCTGGCACAGAAGTTAAGTTGACTGGTCTGTAGCTTCCTGGGTTGTTCTTCTTTCCCTTTAAATAGAGGTGCCCAATATTTGCCCTTTTCCAGTTTTCTGGAATCTCTCCCATCTTCCATGACTTTTCAAAGATGGTGTCTAATGGCTGACATACCTTTTCTATCAGCTCCTTCGGTATCCTAGGATGCATTTCATCAGGCACTGGTGACTTGAAGACATCTAACTTTCCTAAATAATTTATAATGTGTTCTTTTCCTAATTTAACATCTGAACCTACCTCCTTTTCTCCAGCAGTCTCTATGCTAGGAGTCCAATCACCACCAGTCTTCTTGGTGAAAACTGAGACACAGAAGTCATTGAGCACCTCTTCCAATTTAATCTAATCCAAACCCAGATGCAATTGAAATTTTGCAGTGGGTCCCATCTCTGCAAAGAGACCAGTAAAACTCTACAAACTCTGGGGGAGCTGGAATTTGGCTCAGACTCATTCTAACTAGCAATCCCAGCACCCTGGAGCTGAGGCCTTTGACTTAGCTGGAGTTGCTCCTGAGTCATGTCTGCTGCAGCCAGTGGTGTGTAGAGATTTGCTCCAGGGATGGATTTGGTCCTCTGTCTCTGGATGGTGGCACCAGGCATAAATCCGGTGCGGGGCATGATGATGAAAGTGATCCCCGAATGTAATGGTTTGCAACTGTCGCTTAACTGTTGCCCCTAGGGATGGAGAGAGGGACAGCCAGGTGAGCAGGTAGGGGCTGTGGGTTGGGCAGGCAGGGAGCCAAAGCTATTGCAGTGGTACCGGGTTGGGGCAAGGCCAGGAACTTACAGGAGAGCTATGGAAGTTCAGATAGGCAGCGAGCATGCAGTGGAGGGTTGGGCGGGGCTGGCCGAGAGGTTGTCCGTCAGTCCACCCCAGGGCTGACTTATGGAGCCTGGCCTGGGTTTCCACTGTTTCAAGAAGTGGGAGAAATCTGCTGAGGTCAGAGCCCAGGGCGGCTCAGCAAGCGGAAGGTAGAGGCACCCACCCATGGCTGACTCAGCTTCGCGGGTCTCAGGCTAAGGGGCCATTCAGCGGTGGGCTAGATGTCTGGGCTCTGCCCAAAGACTGAGCTCTGGGACCCTCCCACCCCGCAGTCCTAGAATCTGGGCACCACCCCAAGCGCCAGCGTCTCCACTGCAGTGAAACAGCCCCTGAGCCCCAGTCAGCTGGCATGGGCCAGCCGCGGGTTTTTTGCAGGGTAGACGCACCCGGAGGGACCTCGCCCGTGTCAACTAAACCTGCTCTTGGAGAGGCAGGCGGGATGCACGACCATGAGGTGGGGCCGGGGCTTTGTAGGACCAGAGGATCCGGTGCAGAGTGCGATGTCTGACACAGCCTAGTGCAGCCCCCTCAGCAGGCTCAGGAGGGGATGTTCCCTGGCCCAGGGGTGATGTCTTTAGGGGCTGGGTGTCTGGCATCCTGGCTTTGGGCTTCCTAGCTTGGGCTGGGTGGTCTTTCTGCTCTGTCCCCTGCAGGGCGCTGCCAGTGTCTCCATCACACCGAGGGCCCGTCCTGCGAGCGCTGCGCCATTGGCTTCCATGGCAACCCCTTTGTGGGGCACATCGACGACTGCCAGCCATGCCCCTGTCCCGGGGGGTCGCCTTGCACGGCGATCCCGGAGAGCGGGGAGCTGGTGTGCACCCATTGCCCCCAGGGGCAGAGAGGTAAGGGGCGGGGACAGCGGGGCTGAGGGAAGCGGTTCTGGATGGGAAGGAAATGGGTGGGCAGGCTGGCAGACCGACTCCCTTGCTCCCCTGGTCCAGGAAGACGCTGTGAGCTCTGTGACGATGGGTTTTTCGGCGACCCCTTGGGGAAGAACGGCCCCCCCGGCCCCTGCAGCCTCTGCCAGTGCAACGGTAACGTGGACCCCAATGCTGTGGGCAACTGTGACCCCGTCTCCGGCCAATGCCTGAGGTGCCTGGACGATACGACAGGAGAGCACTGTGAAAGGTGCAGGGAGGGCTTCTATGGGAGCGCGCTGGCTCGCAGCCCCGCCCGGAAGTGTTCCCGTGAGTACGGAGCCCCTCGCTCAGCTTCCCCCTCCCTGGCCACGGCCTCCTGCTTGTCAGATCCCACTCCACGGACCCCAGGGGCATAGGGCTCTGTTCACCCCAGTGAAAACGGGCACCACTGCTCTGGAGGGCAAAGGAATCTGCCCCCCATCAACTGCAGGGCTGGATTGGGCCAGTGGTAGGTTGAGGGTAAATCAGTGAAGAGCAGAGGGAGTGTAGGCTGGGGGGGGGTATGGGCAGTGATGTTGAGGAGTTAGAGCAGGGGGCTGAATTAATGGAATTGTGTCTCTGCCTTGGCCCTATGGCTACATTATAATGCCTTGCCCCTCTGCAGTGCTGCCAGCCCTGCTTCCCAAAGAGATGGGCGAACGGTGACCATGAAACCTTCTGCCCCCTTTTGCGCGCCTGGGTTTTATAGGTGGGGAGACTGAGGCACAGAGGGACCAAAAGCCGTGCAGCAAGTCAATGGCAGGGCTGGGGCCAGACGGAAGTGTCCTGATTCCCGGCCCCTGGCTCCAGTTGCTAACAGGCGCTGCTGGTGTTGGATCCACGCGCTGTTCCGGGCTTTGCCGTGGTGGGGGATTCTCCCCAGCCTGGCTCCCAG